CTGTTGCTATGAATAAAATGGACTCCTTTTGTCATCTTTAGAACTCATGATATCTGCTGTCTTGATTAGAGGATTGGACAGGCTGCACCAATAGTTTGTTAAGTGTGCAGGTTCTGATGGTGAGCATGTTAAGAATGAACTCTGACAAGTTGAGACAAATTCTGGAATATCCTGTTCAGGGGGAGAAGGTTAGCCATTGACTAGCTGAGGGGGAGAATGTTAGATTCAGCTCGCCAACGGCAAAAGTTCATGATCATTCTCACACAGCTTGAAGGCCAAGTCAAGATTCAAATCTCAGCTGAAAATGTGGTGGCTGCCCAAAACAGTTAAGGCAAGTTCTCAAGTCAAAAGAAGAAAGTATAAAAACCTACCTTACATGAAGATTTCAAGGGAAACTTGAAAGGGCAACGGCTAGTGTGTGAAGACTATAAATAGGGATCAGATTGAAGAGCTAAGCAACCTTTTCAAGTGATCAACATAGCTAGCTAAGACAAAAGGGGATTTTGGGGAAACACTGGTACGAGTTGTTGGGGAAGCAATTCGGGGTTTGATTAGAGAGAGTATTGATCAATCGGGTGAGATTGATCAAGGGTTCTTTAGTGAATCGTCGGAGATCACTCAATTCTGAGTCTCCGACCGTGGAGTAGTCAGTATTGGGATCCTCATTCTCCCAATACTGGAAACCACGTAAAAATCATGGTGTGTCTTCTCATTCTGCCTCTCGGCTTCTGCTGTGTATGTCCTTCTGTGTGTGTGTTCTGTTTTGTGCACGGAAATTCACTCAGGAGCATATAGGGAAGAAGTACTGTGAGGACCGGGTTGGGGAACTTGTTGGAGCCGAGCTTGATTTGAGCTTCACCGCAACTGCCTGGGTTTTTCACAGCAGAGTTCTTGCTGATCTTCCCTGTTCTTCACTCGAACAGAACTAGAGTTTGTTTTTTATCTAATTCCCAAGTGGGAAGGGCAACTTGATTTGAATTAAAACTCGATCGTTTTGCTTTCATCAATTAGAAGCTGGGTCGGGACGAGAATTGAGTGGGCAGGGCTTCCGGGCTGGGTTATTACGTCTGAGTAATCTAAGTATTAGGGATTAGAAGCCCAATAGCGTGAAGTTAGGTTATGTTAAGTGGGCCTTACGTTTTATAGGCTTAGTTGGGGTTAAACTTTAATCAGACTATCTTAGTGTGTCATTATACGCCTAGGCCTAAGGTGGAAGGGTCTAAGATAGTTAGAATTAAAATCTGCTTTGAGATTAGTTTGTACTAATCATTATTATTAAGGTTGATTTGTAGCCAAAACAGGTATAAAGTCTCGCGCTCGACGCAACCAACAGTATGCGCCATGGTGCCGTGTGAATCCTTATCCTTCCCAGAAGTGGAAGTTTCCAAGTTCCATTGTATTTCAATCATCCATAACCATTTCATTGTACGGCTGTACGATTTAATCTCTCCCTCACTTTGTTTTCTCCAGCTCTCTGTATTATTCGACAGTGCAGGTACAAGGTTATGACGGCGAGAGGAAAGACGCTTTGTTAAAAAATGGTGATGGTCGTCTGAGCAACTTTTGTCACCGGAAGGACTTTGGTCGGCGGACGAGATAAATGTGGATCGGGAGGTGTAGAGAAGTGAGTTGGGGCGGGTCGCGGGTTTTAATTAGGTTGGGTCATGATTATCGGGTTAATGGACAAGATGGTTAGGTTTTTATGATGTGGCAGGTTTTTTATGATGTGGTAGGGTTAGATTTTATTTTTTTCAAGTTAAAAATAGATGACTAGACGAGTCTGTCAGCCACGTTAGCAGATAACTGACGGTGTTAACGGAGACTGACGGAAAGTAACGGTGACTAACCAAATATGACATGTTTTATTAAGTTTAGTAACCATGAATGGAATTACATATTTTTAGTGACCAAACATAAATTTTTTTAGTAATCTCAGTGACCAATCTTGCAATTTACCCTAAAAAGATATAATGAATAAAACATAACAATCAACTTGACCCTTAACATAAATACATGCAACTAAAACAATTATCTTACGGTTATTACAGAAGTATTCACCTAACAAAAATTTATCACAATGGTATGGGTTAATGAATTGTTATGTTTGTTTGAATTGACTTAGTCTTTTAGCAATTTTGATAGGTTGAAAAGGACCTTGCTTTCAAGTTTTCATCCAACATAATGTATGAGATCTATCTAAATTAGGCGTTCATATGTTGTGGTCTACACTCTACATATACAAATATACATTATAGGAACAATATGAAGCTTTATATTTTATGAGTCTAAAAGGATGAACGTTTAACTCTTGAGTGGTTATTCAAAGTATTAAGTATGTGTATATATTAGATATATGGCTAATTATTTATCTGGTTAATTTGGTTTGGCTGGTTAGGAGTGTCTGAAACCAAACCAAACCACATAAACCAAACAAGCTAAAAACTTTAACCAAACCAAACCAAACCAATTATCCAAATTCACCAAACAAAAATATCCAAATAATACTGGCTAAAACGGTTTCCATGATAACCACACCGTTTGACAATTGTTAGATGGTAGGCAAAATTCCAAATTTCCAACTCTTGAACCTTGGTTGGAGAAACTTAGTACCCAATCCAAATTATTCATTTGGACCGCGAGCCAGGATCAAAGTATAATAAATATGATATTGACGTAATAAAGGCCAGGCCCACCATTCCTACCCCGGGCTTAAAAGCAGGCAGCAGACTTCCCAGTCACCACCAGTCCACCACCGCTGGTAAAATGCTGGGTGGGCCAAATATGATGTGGCCTGAATTGCTCCTTTAGTCCAGTTTTATATTTGGTAGGGATCCGATCTGATCTGACAGATCCGCTTTGGATCTCTCTCTACTTACATTTCCAAAATTTGATAATATAAATATCATTCTAAATGGTTAATACCTTATTTTAGCCTCAACTACGATCATATAATCAACTTTGACCCGTGGTTTTAGAAATTAACATTCTGGCCTCAACTATGTAATATATAGACTCAATTGGCCTGACACTTAGTTTAACCGTCAATTTGGATGGTCAACACCATTAACCGTTAGTCAACACGTCATGTCATTGCCTCGTCAACCTAAAAATCATAAAAAAAATCAAATTCAAACTAATTTTTTTAATTTTTATTATTTATAATCAAATTAACAAAAAATAATTTATAAAAAAACATAAAATAAATAATTTTTTTTTTGTAAATTGAAAATAATAAATTTTATAAACTAACCAAAAATTATCAAACTATGTTATGTATTTAACATTACACAAAAATAAAATATAAAATTTATAAAATTTAATTTGATAATTTTTGGTTAATTTATAAAATTTATCATTTTCAAATATCCCAAAAAATAAAATATAAATTTTATTTTTTGGGTAATTTGAACATAAATAATAGAAATTAGGAAAATAATTTTAAATTGATTTTTTTAATGATTTTTAGGATGACGAGACAATGCCATGGCGTGTTGACTAACGGTCAACGGTGTTGACCATCCAAATTGACGGTGAAACCATGTGTCGGGCCAATTGAGTCTATATGCTGCATAATTGAGGCCAGGATGTTAATTTATGAAACCACGGGCCAAAATTGATTATATGTTCATAGTTCGGGCCAAAATAAGATATTAACCCCATTCTAAAAGAGAAAGAATTGTTTTATAATTAAAAGAGAAAGAATTAATACAAAGATCATTATACAAAAAAAAATTCGAAGATAAATTTTATAAACAAAAACTAATTGAAGCAAAACTATTCCTTTCTTAAATGAGATGTATAAAGAAGGTTCCAACTCCTATAATTCTTTTGTAAAAAAAACAAAGAATTAATTTAGAATTCAACATCCAAGTTTATCACAATAAACTTGACGGGTCATTATGAATTTAGGATTGACTCAATTGTCTAGAAATAACTTCATCTCAAAATGATGTATCATTTCGGAATATTGGTCCCTCCCTTTCTCAATTTAAATCGATACAAAATAAAATAATTCAAATTGTCTTAGCCCAATAAATACATCATTATTATGTGTTTCCAAACAAGATAATTGACTCAATTGATCCATTTTGAGACAATTAAGCGAAATTACCTCGTTCAATTCCATCATTCAACCGAGAATTACATGGTGGACAAAATGTAGGTTATTCCGCTGATTACCAATGATCTAAATGAATTTAATAATCCACTACAACAATAATAGTTTTTATGGATATGCTCATCTCCAATTTGTTAAAGTATTGATAATAATAAAAAAATCTCCACTACAATTGTATGGCGCGAGTGTGACATCGTGATTGTGACAATCAATTGCTCTCATTATTATTTAAAATAACATATATTTTCTTATAATTTTGATTTTCAAATCAATTTAATAAGATATTTTTTTATTTACTGAATAAATAGGAAAATTCAAATTTATAGAAAAAAAGAATATCATTTTAAAATATTAGTTTTTTTTACAAAGAATAAAAGGCAATAGTAACGAAGCCAAGGCGGAAACGAACTTTCCTCTTCTTTGTTTCCTTCCTTCCGCCTCTTCTTCCTCCCCTCCCCTCCCCTCCTTCCCGTCTCCTAGTTTTCGATCCCCTTCGGAGTTCGTCCGCACTTCCAATCGCCGGCGATATCAATCAGGTAAATTTTGCCCTCTATAGTCTTGATTTCTCTGGCTGAGCGGTGAGCGCTTCTCTTTTTCCCTTGATTTCGGTGGTCCACTTTGTTATTGGCGGTGTCATTGGCAAGCTGTCTACGTTGCTTGTTTCCTTCTTAGCGATTTTGATGATACCCTTTGCAGCTGTCACAGATTCAGGAGGTATTTTGGATTCAAAATTGTTCCTTTTTTTGTTTGATTGTTTTTTGAGATCCCTTGGGGGCGATCAAAGAAGATTAAAATAATGGATTGTTTTCTTTAGGTGACGAATCTGGAATCTGATATCTCCGCCGATGTTCTTCTCCCCTTTTGTGCTGCTCTGTTCTGTTTGTCGTTTTCGGCCTTCAGAGTTTGAATTTCTAACAAATTCCATTACTGGTCGTTAAATTTTCAGGGGACAAGCTAGAATCTTGGGATTGTGCCATTGTGGTGCTGAAGGGGAGCAGTCTTCTGGGCTGTATCTCTAAAAGCACTTGGTTCTCAGGGTTCTTCATTTTATTCTTCTTTCTCGGGAGAGAGAGAAATAGAATCAGAAACAGAATCCTTGTAGGGAATGCTGCATGATGTGCCTAACTGATGAGAACCCAGTCTCTCAAGGCCATGAATATGTGGCTTTCATGGTCTTTTCCCCCTTATTCACATATGATGAGACTGGTACTGTAAATTCTGCTTCTTTAACTGGTTGCAGTCGTCGCCACGATGATCACGGTTCCAATAGCTGCTACAGAGTTCCCAATATAACGAAGATGCTGGACTTTTCTGAAGACGGTTGATTAAGCCCACTTCGACTGCTAGTAGTTTGTATTACTTTGTGGATTGCGTAATATTTGGCTTGACAGGGTAGTAGTTTTATTTTCGAATGTGTGCTTGTATTACTAGCTCAAGGATGGATCATAAACCGAGCGTATTGACCGCAAGATACGAGATCGGGAGGTTGCTTGGTCAAGGGACTTTTGCTAAGGTTTATTATGCAAGGAGTATTACAACAAACCAGAGTGTGGCGATTAAAGTGATTGATAAAGACAAGGTTTTGAAAGTTGGGCTTGCTGATCAAATCAAGAGAGAAATTTCCGTGATGAGAATTGCTAGACATCCGAATGTGCTTCAGCTTTATGAGGTCATGGCTACCAAAAGCAAGATCTTCTTCATTGTGGAATATGCTAAAGGGGGTGAACTCTTCAACAAGGTTGCTAAAGGAAGGTTGAAAGAAGATGCTGCTCGGAAGTACTTCCAACAACTGATCAATGCTGTTGAGTTCTGCCACAGCAGGGGTGTTTACCATCGGGACATAAAGCCAGAGAATCAGTTGTTGGATGAAAATGAGAATCTAAAGGTTTCGGATTTTGGATTAAGTGCCCTAGCTGAATCCAGGCGCCAAGACGGTTTACTTCATACTACCTGTGGAACCCCTGCATATGTTGCTCCTGAAGTTATCAACAGGAAAGGTTATGATGGAGCCAAAGCTGATATATGGTCTTGTGGGGTGGTTCTATATGTGCTATTGGCAGGTTATCTGCCATTTCATGATTCGAACCTGATGGAGTTGTACAGGAAAATCGGGAAAGCTGAATTCAAATGTCCTAATTGGTTTGCCCCAGAAGTTAGAAGACTTTTGTCCAAAATACTGGATCCGAATCCTAATACAAGGATATCCATGGCCAAGATTAAAGAAAGTTCCTGGTTTAGGAAAGGATTGAGCTCCAACAAACAGAGAAAACCGGAAGAAGCTGAAACCCAAGATATGGCTCCTTTGAGTGGAGATGGATCAGGTCCGTCTAGCAACAATAGCAGCATGCTCTTCGAGGAAGCAAAACAAGAACAACTGGTGAAGCCTTCAAACTTGAATGCATTTGATATAATCTCTCTCTCAGCTGGGTTTGATCTGTCTGGACTCTTTGAAGAAGATTTACTGAGAAAAGAAACCAGATTTACTTCTAAACAGCCTGCATCGGTCATAATTTCTAGACTTGAGGATACCGGCAAGCTTCTGAACATGAAGGTGACGAAGAGAGAACCAGGGTTACTGAGGATGGAAGGAGTAAGCGAGGGTAGGAAGGGTTTGTTGACCATTGATGCTGAAATCTTTGAAGTTGCTCCAAACTTTCATTTGGTGGAAGTGAAGAAAACAAATGGGGATACATTGGAGTATCAGAAGATAGTGAAAGATGGCATGCGACCTGCACTCAATGATATTGTCTGGGTTTGGCAGGGCGAAAAGAAACCAGCCCAGCAGGAAGGAGAACAGTATCTTCCTCCGTCGCTGCAGGAATGACACAGTGACCAGCATAGCTCAGCAACTCACTCTTGTCCCTTGACGAGATGATAATTGCCAGTTTCTCTGAGATCTCATTTCTGTACAGTTTTGTGAATTGGCAAAGCTCTTTACTTTTTGTTGTTGTGTTCACTGTTTGTGCCCCCTTTTCAATGTTTTGCTGTACTTCAGCTTCAATGTACGTCTCTGGAATACCCGAAACTCTTGTTTTGATAACTGCTTTATTGAATCTATATGTTAAAATGATAAAAAGCAGTTAAAAAAATACTTCTACAGGATCCGTCCATATGTTCACTCTTAGCTTACAACATTGGGACAATAGACAAATTGCAGCAGTCGAAATAGCATTATTGTCATACAATTTGAATATGCTAATTGCTTATTATATCAGTCCAACACCAAATCGTTGGACAAAAAAGGAGAACTTGCTAATGTCAAGTCAAGTCAATGATTTTGGGAGAAACAGCACCAGAAAATCTTGACCTCTTGCAGATTGGCCACATTGTGCATTCTGGAGAAGGGGACAACAAATCTATGACCTCCAATTTATTACCACAATTCCGGATAGCCGGTGCTGCATCTTCGCCAGCAACAGCTCTACTTGTGGAATCTTTCCTTTTCAAGGATCCCAGTTTCGAATCACTCCCATCATCTATCACTACCAACACATTCCCATCTGCCATCTCTCCAAGAACAGGAGCAATTCTTCTCCCGGGTGTACCATCGAAGTTGAAACTTTGCATATGAATATCTAGTTCTGGGTCATGGGAACAGCCTGTGTGTCTCCAGTCGGGTTCTTCATTGCACCATCCCCAGTTTTCTTTGTGACCAATGTCAATGCTACCTGCACAATCCACGGGAAGGAGATGAGCTACTGCATCATCCCTGGTGCTTTTTACCCCATTTCCACTCATATCACTTCTGTCATCTGATTCTTCATCATCTTCACCATTCCCCAATCGTTCTTTGCCTTGAAATGAACTCTGCTCTTTTCCATCTTCCTCGCGTTCAACAACATTCTCCTCTGCAATTCTACTCAAGTGACTGACATTCTCGCACACATTGTCATCATCAAAATCATACTCCCCTCCATCCCCACCATCATCAAGCAAGCCGTTATCAAATGTTCCAGTGTAGCAAGGGAGTTCATCCATGGGGCAAACTCGGACCTTAATATGCAGCGGCAGACTAGGCAAACTAGGGGAACAATTTTTGTACTTCGTTGAGAAATAGTCTACAGTCAGGTTCAATCTGATCACACAGAAGGTAGAAACACAACATTAGTTTAAGACCATCGATCTATAACTAAGAAAACCCACAAAATCAAACAAATTGAAACTCTGTTATCTGTTAGTTTCCCATCACACCTCTGCCAAGGAGGAAGGCCAAGCATAGTGTAGGCAAGTTTGATTTTATTAGCAACTCCGGAGAAGGATTTGAAACTCAACGCGGCCTCCCTTACGGCTTTCGATTCCCTTGGATGCTGCCACGCCCACTCAAACTGGAGAGCAGAGACTTGAGTTGGGAAACCATAGATGCAGAACACCATTGCCAAGGGTCGTTTCCCCTTTGTCCTGAACGCCCCACACTTGATTTCCCCATTGTGCTGCCTGATTCTACGCCGCGGATTTACTGTAAATCTGCAAATTGCATAGAATCAAATCGATCAACCAATCACTCGAGGAGTATCCAATCAAGATCAGACGAATATGAAGCGAAATGAAAAAAAAAAGGCGGATGCTTTTCTTTCTTAGTTGGTCTATGTTCAAATTGGGGAACAGGGTTTTGAAGGGGAAAGCTAAAAGAGTGAAATCGGACAATGAATATGAGGGATCTGGATGAAGATCAAATGGAGAAGCGTTTACGAACCCGATATAAGTGAAGTTTTTGGAACGAGGGGAGAGGGAAGTGAGGAGATAACAAGCAAAGAATCTCTTTCTTCCATTGTTGTCGTCTTCTTCGGTGTTCCCCTTTCCGTCAACTTGCTCTCCTTCTTCTACTTGATGTGGTTCAGGTATTAGGGCTTCGGTCTGTTTCGGTTTTCTCTTCCACTTTGATTTGCTGTTTGACGATTTCCTTTTCGCCATCGCTCTTTTCTCTCTCTCGCTCTGGGGTTCTGGTTTTTCCTCAGATGCAATTCGACCGTTGGCCGACCCATTTATTCACAAGACCAGTCGTCTAACTAAATGAAGATAAAAGTAAAACTAAAAATGATTAAATTTGTGAAGGGACGGGATACGGTGACAACCACTAAGGGTATTTTGGGTATGAAAAAAGGAATATATTAATTATCTTTTATTTAGTAATCAGATTGGAAATTATAAATTCATATTAAATATAATTTTTTTAAAATTTAAATCCTATACATTAATATCTCTCTCTTCCTTTCTCTTGCGGCCACTCCGCTTCAATGGACAGACTTTTTCTCCGGCGAATTCTATCCGGCAGACTCCCTCCAGCAACCTGAAAAAATGTACCAGTGCGTTAAAAGGTGTACCAATTCATTAGTCTACTGGTAATTAATAAACCAGTGCTAGTGGTACGCTACTAGTGCGTTAAAAAATGTAACAGTGCTAGTGGTACGCTACCGCTACCAGTGCTAGTGGTACGGTACCATTAGCAGTACTAGTACTACTGGTAGAGGTACCATTAGCAGTACCAGTACCAGTACCACTGGTAGCGGTACCATTGCCACTGGTAGCGGTACCATTTCCACTGGTAGCGTACCACTAGAGATTAGCACACAAAAAATCAGATCTGAAAAAAAAACAGGGATGACGAAAGGGGGAGGCAGGGGAGAGGCGGTGACCTCGTGGCGACGGTGGTGGTGGGAGACAGAGGGCGACGGGAGGGTTGCGACGACGGTGGTGGTGGGAGGAGGAGGCCGTGATGGCTGCGGGGCGAGGGACGTGACAGTGCTGGGAGGCGGAGGGCGCGACGGGAGGGCTGCAGCAGTGATGAGAGGCGGAGGGCGTGGCGGGTCGGCAGGACGGCTGCGACGACGATGGTGGCAGCCGATAGAGAGAGAGAGGGAAGAGATGGGAGGAAGAAGAAGAAGAATAGGAAGAAGAAAGATGGCGTGAGAGAGAGAGAGGAAAGAGAGAATGTAGGGTTTTAGGTATTAATAGGGGTAATAATCTAGTGTGATTAATTTTTTTCGTTCAAAAATACCCTTAATTCAATCTGTACCATTGCTTTGAAAAAAAAAAAGACAAGAGAGAGAATGGATCCTATGGTTATAAAATGGGGTTGTCACCGTATCTCATCCCATTTGTGAATTTACCTTTTCTTCATAAATATATAGAAGATGGAACAACCATATACAATAATATAAATATGAAATTTTGGAGATTAATGAGAAATTGTACGAAACTTTAAAGAACACTTGATTTAATGTGGTTCTTCCTCACGGTGTGTGAGGCGTACATCCATGGGAGAAGACGGTGATATTATTGCTTGATGTGACGCAAGGCCTTTACAAAGCTTTTATACCCTATTTCACTATCGTCTAGGGTTACAGTATCACATGTATCCTGAGTTGCCAACTTCACCAAGGAGACGGAGTGTACGTGCCTTGCATGGGCTGTCGTTGCATGTTGGGCTGCTGGGTCGGCAACTCGTTCTCGGCCCAATACTCCCCCGCAAGCTGGAGCGTGGAGATCACGAACGTGCAGCTTGGAAAGGAAGAAACGAAAGCGGGCTGCACCAAGACCCTTAGTGAGTAGGTCAGCAAGCTGAAGATTAGTGTGCACTTTGACTGGCAAAATGTGTCCAGACTGAACTCGTTCTCGAACGAAATGACAATCCATTTCCACATGCTTAGTCCATTCGTGGAAAACGGGATTGTTGGCAATATGTAGTACCGCCTGGTTATCACAGTGTAACGGGGTCGGACCATCTTGTGGAACGTCGAGCTCCTGCAATAACCAGCGCAACCAGAGAATTTCACTAACAGTACTCGCCATGACACGGTATTTGGCCTCTGCAGAAGAGCGTGCCAAAACTCGTTGCTTCTTCGTGCGCCATGATATAGGAGCTCCACCAAGACTGATATAGTACCCTGTGGTAGACCGTCGGGTGCTTTGACACCCTCCCCAATCCGCGTCACAGTAGGCAGTGAGTTGCAGTGGATTGTGATACGGGAAGTAAAGTCCCTGTCCGGGAGATTGTTTGAGATACCTGAGAACCCTGAATGCTCCATCCAGATGCTTCTTACCAGGAGCCTGAACATGCTGACTGAGAATGTTGACCGCGTAGGTGATGTCCGGTCGAGTGATAGTCAAATAGAGTAACCTGCCAACAAGTCGGCGATAAAGTGAAGGATCCGCTAGCCTGTCCTCTGTTGAACCAGTTAGTTGGTGATTTTGCTCGATGGGAAAGGCGCTGGGTCGCGATCCTTGAACCCCGGCGTCCTCCAAAATGTCCAGGACGTATTTGCGCTGACTAAGGACGACACCTGTAGAAGTTCGGGCCATTTCAATCCCCAAGAAATATCAGAGAGGGCCAAGATCTTTGATACTGAAGCGATCATCAAGAAATTTCTTTAGCCGGGTCATGAAGGGCAAATCATTGCCCGTCAATAAAACATCGTCTACGTAGATAAGAGCTGCTACGAACGACTTCCCCTTCTTGTGAATAAAAAGTGATGCATATGCCAGTGAAGAACGAAAGTCGAACTCTGTCAAAGCGGCTGTGAACTTCTGATACCAGTTGCGAGATGCCTGTTGCAACCCATAAAGCAATTTGTGCAGGCGACAAACTCTAGTATCACATGGTGTATGAAACCCTTGAGGAATCTCCATGTAAACCTCCTCATCAAGATCGCCGTGGAGGAAGGCGTTATTAACATCTAACTGCTGCAAATCCCAACCACGACTGACTGTCATAGCGATAAGACAGCGAACTGTTACTAGCTTCGTCACAGGGGCGAAGGTATCGTGGAAATCCAGGCCCTCAATCTGCGTATATCCCTTGGCCACGAGGCGAGCTTTGTAGCGCTTGATGGTGCCATCGGGGAAGTATTTTATTCTGTACACCCATTTGGCTGCAATGGCTCGTTTGCCAGGAGGTAGATCCACCAGAGTCAACGTCCCATTCTTCTCGAGGGCTAGAATCTCCTGGCGCATTGCTTCTCGCCATCGCGGGTCACGGAAAGCTTTATGAAAGTAGCGGGGCTCCTCGCCGCGTGTAATGGCTGCAAGGAAAGCATGAAATTGCGGATTAAAACCCTCGCAACTTACACAAGCAGCTAAAGGATAGTGAACTAAATTCGAGGTGCTTCCCTGTGACTGGTTGGATGGTAGAGTAGTGATATAATTTTCCAAATATTTGTGTCTTAAGCGATGATTATCAATTTTCCGCAAGACATGAATGGTTGCTACCTCTGTACTAATTGGGGGCTGAGAGTCAGCATTTAATGTGCCCAAGTTGGTTGGGTCAACTCCTTCTGTCAAACCAGTGTCGGCTGGGTTGCCATGGTTAACTCCCTCGCTACAGTGGAGTGAGGCACCTCCTGCATGCCCGAACTCTCCACCACGTGCTCGGCAGCTGCGGTCCCAAGTGGTGATGGTGACGTTGGCGAGTTGAATTCCATAATAGTGTTCTCGTCATCCGTCGCACTAAACACTGGTCGAGGTATCCAGTGCAACTCACGGCTGACTGCCTCTTAGAATGGGAAGGCTTCTTCTTGAAATTGAACATCACGAGACGTGATAACTCGACGCTTCCTTAGATCATAGATTCAATAAGCTTTCTGACTTGACGCATACCCCAAGAACACACCCGCTTGTCCTCATTCCCCGAATTTATCCAAGTGGGCATGTGTATCTTTGTAATAAAATAAGCATCCGAATACACGCAAGTGGCTATAGGTTGGCATTTTGCCAAAGAGCAACTCGAAGGGAGCTTTCCCGGTGGCTACCGTCGGTAATCTGTTAATTAAATAGACAGCAGTGAGGATGCATTCACCCCAGAAACGCAGTGGCAAGCTCGCTTGGAACTGCAGTGCATGAGCCGTATCCAGGTTGTGTCAATGTTTTCTCTCCACTACTCCATTCTGCTGCGGCGTGTCTGTACACGACGTTTGCAATAGCATGCCTTCGCGGGCATAATAGTTGTGCAAGGATTCTGAACTGAACTCGGACCCATTGTCTGCCTGTATGCGTCTCACACGGGACTTGAATTGCGTCTTTACCATCTGGAAGAACTGCAGCAAATAATTCTCAACATATGATTTGTAGCGCTACAAATATACCCAAACCCCACGAGTGAAATCATCCACGATTGTTAAAAAAATAGTGTGTACCACTCAATGATGCAATCTTATAACCACTCAAAGCTGGTTGTAGTCTTAATAGTACTTGATTGAAAAGGGAAATGAGACTGTTTAGCCTGTAAACAAGAGTGACAAGGGCCTTTATTCGACTGCAAACTAAAAGACATCAAACGACTAACATATGATTGCTTCTCCGGAGAGGGATGACCCAATCGCGCATGCCAGTTGATCACCTCCACAGACCTTTTATGCTGAACACTGCAAGCCTGTGCCTTCCCTGCTCCAAACAGGCGCAGGTAATAAAGACCATCTCTGAGCTCACCCTTCCCAATCAACTTCTTGGAGCGTAAGTCCTGGATGATGCAAAAACCATCAAGGAATATCAAAGCCACGTGGTTATCCTTCGTTAATCTACTCATAGAAATAAGATTACATTGAAATTCCGGTACGTGAAGTACTTGATTTAGACAAAACCCGGGTTGCAGAATAACCGAACCCATGTGCTTAATTGGGATGCTCTCGCCATTCGGAATACGAACTGGCTGACTATTTAACTGTGCTTCTTTACCCGACAATAAGGACTCGTCCATCGTAATGTGCTCATTTCACTCAGAATCGATCAACCATTCAGTAGTACTAGAGAAAATACTTGCCTTGTGAGCTGCCGGATCATGATCATCTGACCCTTTATCCTGCAGGCCAAAGAAAAGTTTCAGTTGATTAAGTTGAGCCAGCCTCTGCTTGCGAAGCTCTTGGCTCTCGACTTTGCTGCTCAACCCGAGCCCCATCATTCATCTCTCTAGGTCGACGTCGAGATTTATCGCCTTGCCGATCACCACTGCCTTGTCTCTCATTTTGCCTGTCCCGAGGCAGGTACCCAATCAATTCCCAGCAAGCTTCCCTGAGGTGCCCCGTCTTTTGGCAGTGTGTGCAGCGAACCCTTTCACGCTACTCCCCCATTCCACGAGACCCTCGATTATTTTCACCATGGGCTACAAAAGGTGCCGCTTCAGGTGATGGTTTTCGGTTTTGTGAAATCATCTTCTGTTGTTTAGTGTTGAGGACAATGTTGAAAGCTTCGGTCAAGTTGGGTGTCGGCTTCATAGCCAGGACTTGCGTGCGAACCGCTCCAAAAGCTCCTTCATCCAATCCCATCAAGAAATCGATCAGCCTGGAGTGCTCTTGATATTCACGAACACGTTTGGACACGTCACAGGTACAATATCCGCAATAACAGCTCGGAAGGGGCGCAATAGCTGACGCCTCTTCCCAGTACGAACGCAGTTTGGTGTAAAACGACGAAACGGATCATTTTTCTTGCTGCAACAGACTAATCAATCGTCGCAGCTCGTAGGCACGAGAGGAACTCCCCTCGCCGAACCTATCATGAAGATTATACCATATCTCTAGGGTTGTTTCCGCGAATCGGATGTTGCTCCGAATTTCCTTATCCATCGAAGTTTTCAACCACCCTTTCACCATTGCGTCACATCGAATCCAGGCGTTCTTCTCCGCCAGATCGGTGGGTTTAACCAGAGTACCATCCACAAAGCCGAATTTGTTTTTGGCTAGGAGAGCATCCTTCATGTCTAGCACCCACTCTCCGTAGTTTGACGACGTCCGAATTTTGCCTACCAGCATGTTGCCCTGTAGATCCGAGTTGCTTAATTGATACACCGGAGGGAGATCAGAGTCTGAGCTGGTGGCGCTGACGTGAGCCTTGTTCTAGGCCTCGGTTTCACTACCTTCCACCATGATTGACGAGTGTCGTTTGCGGATTCGGTTAACCTAGAACCTACCGCTCTGATACCATGAGAAATAGAACGAAAACTTTAAAGAACACTTGATTTAACGTGGTTCTTCCTCACGGTGTGTAAGGCGTACATCCACGGGAGAAGACGATGATATTATTGCTTGATGTGACGCAAGGCCTTTACAAAGCTTTTATACCCTATTTCACTATTGTCTAGGGTTACAGTATCACATGTATCCTGAGTTGCCAACTCCTCCAAGGAGACGGAGTGTACGTGCCCTGCATGGGCTGTCGTTGCATGTTGGGCTGCTGGGTCGGCAACTCGTTCTCGGCCCAATAGTTAAAGTACAAAATCCAAAGGAAAAGAGAGAGGTTGGCAAGAAAAACTCAATTCAAATTTCAACCATAAAAGAATTTATTTTGCCACGATATAGGCAACCATGTTATACCTTAGAGGAGCATAACATAATGAATCACATTGTATAGTAGACGAAACATTTGAATCTCTTTCATATTAGCTTTCCTGCACGTGCAATGAATCCTTCGCATTGACCACCAATTGATCACCACTAAAATTAGAGTATTTTTTCGACAAAACTTAAGCATAGATGAAAATATCATGATAATTGAATTTCCGTTTTAGTTTTACACTACACGACTATTTGAATATAAGGATGTAAGTAATGATTAAACTCATTTACTCAAATGAATATCCGAAGATTTTATACACAATATTTTCAAACCTCTAACGAACCTTGACACTATTACCAGTCATGTGTCACAATCATTCTCGTAAGCACACACAAAAACAAAGTTCAGATTTCTTGAAGCGGAGACAGTTCATGCTCACTTAGGTTGAATCTCTTATTCATATACTCACATACACTTTATCAAAGATTCAATTAAAAAGTATTAAGCTTCATCCTATTCTCTCATGAAGGATAACAAACACATACCTCGAAATGACAAATTAGGCACTCAATCCATGATAATGAGATTTCCTCATTGAATTTAACCGATAACGTTGTATTTGAGGAGAATTTGGTGTCCCATGATAAGAAATTATAAGGACTTTGTACTCATCTCTTTCACAAAATTGACCACGAAGTCATTGGCTAATCATTTAATCAAATGATCAACTAAATTCTCTAGAATCAGGGCATATTGTATAGATATAACTTCATGAGTTATCAATTCATGAATTTTACTACGTCTAACTTTCAAATGACTAGAAGTGCAATTATATACTTGGCTATATGCCTTAACCAAAGAAGCATTACTATCACAAAAGATAGTAATGACTGAGATGCTTTCGACCATAAAAAAACCAAGTTTCTCAAACATCCTAGCTCTACTCCAACAGAAGCCAATGTCACAAACTATGAATACATAGTGAACTAGTAATGCAATTTTGATTTTTAGAATCCCAAGGTATGTACCTCCCCAAGCAAGAACTCATTTTGATGTTGAAGTATGACCGTTAACATCATAAATCCAACTTTCATTAGCGCATCCTTCCAAAATGAATGTAAATTTACTATAAGTCAGTGCATGATGCATTATGGCTGAGATATCCTAGTCCACAACTAACTGCACAACAATGATGAGCATTAGGACTACTTATATATCACCTTAGTTGTCATACCGCATATATGATATTTGGTTTTGTACAAGTGATTACATACATCAAACACCCAATTGACTGGGAATACTCCAGTTATGAAACCAATTGACTAGTATTAGCTATAAGCTTCATATTTGGATCCGCTAAGGTTTTTCATTCACGTCAAGTTTCCCTATGGAATTTAGAAAGTACTTTCTTAATGTAATGAGATTGAGATAAGACAACTATTTTGCCATCATGTTTTATTATGATTCCTAGAATTACATCAGTCTCTCCCATGTTCTAGACGAAGAATTTAGATACAAAATTTAATTTAGTAAAACTATCAAACACAATTAATCCAATTTGACCCTATTAGCCCGGTTCAACAAAATTTCCAAGAGGCTATATGCATGTACTATTCTTAAACATCTTTGATTCCGATGTTGTCTAGCCCTTTTCAAATCATCCCTTCAAACGATAGGGTTTTCTTCTTCTTCCGAATAATCATATAACTCTACTGCTTTGATCCTTTTATCTTCCTCGTCAATATCTCAAGGATTCCAGTTAGTATGAGCAACAAAGTGAGCAAGCTTATTTGCGGCCCTACCTGTGTTTCTGCAACCCAGAATTCTGTCCGTATTCACCAATCTGTTGATCAATCTCATTTGCTATTGTTCCCATCTTGTTCCTTCAGTCTTCTCTGCCTTTCAGGCTTGTTACAGTAGGAGTGAAACCATATTTTAGGACCATCTAAACTTTAACCCCCCCCCCCAACCCTTGGCTGTTTCCATTGTTAAATTAGCAGCAGAGGAAGGTAAAAGAAGGAAACTTGAAAGAAAATGGAAACATAGGAAGTAGATGATGGGGAAATGCTAAGATGGTAGTCATTTATAATCATCCTCTAGAACCAAAAGTGACTCCACAAATTAGAGATTCATGTGTAGATGGTCAACAGTGAGTGATCACTTAGGTAGGCTCAGCTTCACACTGCTGTAAAGATATTGGCCACAAGAATTTAGCAAGAGAAGAGTACACCAACATATTAGAGGAAGAAAGGTAGAAATGGTGGTATAGAAGGTCAAATTAAGGTATGGCTAAACACTGATTGCAAGAAACATCTTCAACCACTAACCCATATGCCACCACAACGTATATACATTTATGAGAGCCAGCAAGAGCCTTTATATACCAGATGGAACTAACAATTATTACTTTACTCAAAGAGGTTAACCTGGTCAATCATCGGACCTGGAAGTAGTACTGCAAAAATACCAATATACTTCTGTGTCCATAAAAGAACAGCATTCAATAGCCTCGTAATAACTAAGGAGACAATACTAATAAGAGATGCATATCTGGGTTTTTTTCAGCACAACCTAAAGTCCCAAAAGCCTTGTTAGTTCTGGGAATCAAGGGTAACCACCTATGAACATAATGCAGACATGAATAGCACTCTCGCAACATAATGTTAAGTTGGAAAAGCTCTATCTCGCTAGTTGGTATCAGATTGTAATCAGTTCTCAGCAATTGTTAACTTATACAGTCCAACCATGAGGTCTCCTGACGATTGCTTTACCAAGTCCTGCAATGCAACAAACATGGGAGAGATAATCTCTGAGTAACCCAGAAGCACTGCATTAAGCATTGTGTTCCAAGAAGTCTCTGGCAGACCCAGCTCACAGTCCCACAAGCCATCACAGCTGGGAAGATTGGACAACAAAATATTCAAGCAAGAATCATGTCATGAACACACAGAAACCCAAGTGCAGAAACGAGGTAACAAGACACAGTGCGCAAGAAATGTCGCAGATTTATATGCATTAAAGGTAATGCTAGCTGCTAATTACAGGTTACAACTCTCTCTAACCAATACTGTAAATGGGTTTGTTTCCCAAGTTGATAAATCTACAACAACAAGCATCCACAACACACAACGAGAGCTGTGCGGTGTGTGAATTCCCAGTCCCTCATCCCAGAACCTCAAACTGAAAGCAGCTGGATCAACTAGTCACGAAGGAATAAGAGCATCACAAACTTGATGAAAAGCCAGGGAGGGAGATGCAACTTAATCGGATGAACTGGAAGGTTTGGGCGAGGAAGAGGAAGACGTGAGGTGCCTCCAGAGGTAGCGTCCACTTGCCATGTCCACGCAGGTCCAGAACCCGGACTCCACAGCTGACCGGACCTGCAACAATTGGAAAAGAAGAACACGGAAGGGGGAAATTACTCAATAACAATTATCACACTGGAAAAACTGCAAAAAAAAAGAGCTAATAACAGTAGGTGGTCATTATACAAGGAGAAGAACCTTGGAGAATCGAGTAGCTGAGTCGTCGGCGGCGGGGGAGGAGTCGTCGGAATCGCGGAGGTCGTCGGGGAGAGGAGCGGTTTGGGGGGAGTTGAGGTTGCGGACGAGGAAGAAGCCGGCGAGAGTGGCGGAGAGGAAGACGAGAATGATGCGGAGTGGGCACATTTTCCCCTGCCTCCCTGGAGAAAGAAAGGATTAGCAGGAGTGAAATCGGAGCAATGTGATTACAAGCATGCGAAGAAGAAGAGGAAAGCTGATGATGACAGAGAGGCAAAAACTTTTTTTTTTCCCCAATTAAGGCCAGGAGAGGATCGATCTGGAAGAAGGGGATTGGCCAATTGGTTGATTAAGCTTCTCGCAATTTGCAGCAAGGCACAAAAATGGCTGTGTCAATAATAAAGACTGGAAGAGAGGTGGTGGGACCCAGGCGGAGGCCAAGCACTCAGCCGCCCCTATCCTTCCATTCCATTGAGAAATTTCTTTCCTGCTTTCCACCTAACCTAGACAACCAAATTACCCAGTAACTGTGAACTAAATCGCCCCTCTATCGCGCTCGAGTATGTTGACATCGTTGGATCGTCTCCTCTAACATTACATACCACAGCATCAACACACAGCTCAACGTTCAGCGTCAGCGTAATAGCCAGATTCTTCGACGCAGCCAAACATGCAGGCACATTAATAGTAAAGCTAAACATGAACTTTGTTTTAATAACTAGTTCTTAAAACGTGTCCATAAAAGGACGTTGGCTCACTAAACTGGTCTGCTATAACAGGTAACAAGCAGGAAATGACCAATTTCAGCACTCTCTCTGCAAATTCAAACCTTGGTGCGTGATCAGTTAATATGCCAAACTGACGCCTGTCAATAGATACTTGAATTAATCACAACAGTTGCAGCTAATCCTTCTCCACTTGCACGCACGTCAGTTTCTCAGGTACGAGAAATAGTCAACGAAGATGGCTTACCATCCTCTCCATTTCCACCGCCTGCTGTAATGTGCTTCCCATGTCACTCTGCCACCACTAGTCCACCACTATCGAAGGAATTGCAGATTGGCAAAAAGAAAAAACTCAGCACAATGAATGGCTGCTTTGCTTCACAACTCAACCCACCACCATAACACTCCATCACCCACTTCAGTTAGGCATTATCTAAGCATGATACATATTTAATACTTATTTCCATGACCTTCCTTTGCCTGATAATACTTTTTTTCATAGACAAAAGGGCAACCCTTTTGTTCTTTCTGAGGAAGGCAAGAGTCTTCAGAGTTCTGGCATCCGCAGCATCGAGAAATTTTGCTGGTTAGCATAACTTGGTTCAATGTAACAGGAAAGAAGCAATTACTATAAGAAAATTGCAGTCTCTGGTCATGGATCTTTATATTTTGGCATAACGAGCAAACTTGGAAAGCACTGTCCTTAACGTCCGAATCCCAGCTCCAGTTTTCGAGCTGGCCATCATCTGTAGCCAAAACCGAAAGCAAGTGTTAGACGTCTACTGTTAACGCCAGACAACAGACAACTACAGTGGTTTTACACATACCACAGGCTGCACTATCGACTTGTTTGCCTTCAGGCTCTGCAAAAATTGGATTTGAAATACAGCCAAATCTGTTATTCTAAATGGTGCAACAATCTATTAAGAAGGAATTCATTAGCAAAATGCATGCCAACGCACTCACATCTTCAATTTGCATAGCACGGCGTGCTACATCAATTGGAAATACCAAATCGGTCTTGGTTAATACAATCTGGTATTTTGTTTGAGATCTGCATATTTGAAACCATGGTTCAGAATGCATGAACAGTCTAACAAACTAGCATTTGCTGATGGGGCATAGTACGGGATAAAGATTATACTTTTCCATCAAATTAATGAGTTCGCGATCTCTCGGCTTCATTCCCCATTTTGTGTCGATAAGAAGACAGACTTGTTTCAGACCCGTTCTTGTTGACACATACTCCTTAACCTGCACAATTGGGATGGGACAGCTTGTCAGTGAACAATTAGATGGCATATATATATATATATATATATATATATATATATATATATATATATATATATATATATATATATATATATGTGTCAGTGAGTAGTTTGACCATGTTAATGCACTTTCATTGCAAACGAAATCAAAAACTAAGATGGCAGACAAGAATTTACATCTTCGTGATATTAGGAAATGATTAAAAAGACTAAATAACCTTGATGCATGTCACAAAAACTCATATTTGACAGCCAAGGTTAGCTCTCAATTTTACAGAAACCACAAGCTTCCAGAAAGATATTAAGGTTTGTAGTATATGTCCTTAAGTTTATTCAGTAGACTTACGAGTTCCTCCCAAGAATCCTTCACTTCTTCTTTCGCATAAGCAAAGCCATATCCAGGCAAATCGACCAAGCATAACTTTCCGAGCTCAAAGAAATTAATTGTCTGCAAAATGAACCATTCAAGTCTGTTAAAGAAAAGAATAGACACTATTATCAGTTGAGAATAGTTTCCGGAAATAGCAGCACCTGAGTGAGGCCAGGTTTGTCTGATGTTCTTGCAACTCCCCATTGTCTCGTAAGTGAATTCAGTAGAGATGACTTCCCAACATTTGACCTTCCTGGATGACAATTGTTTGGATCAAACCATAGAGACTTGAAATAAAAAATAAAACAATGTCCTTACAAGAAAGAACCATACTTTTAAGAGATCATAAATATAAAACTTCAGATACTGCTAAGTACTGAAACAGACTGTTGCACGGCGCATGGCAAATATTTGAATGAACTCGGATAAAAAAAGGCTATTTTATTGAATCTTCATACTTGCTATTCATTACCAGCTTTAAAGCTTATCAGAATGCCACATCTAACGTACCAGAAATCAGCAGATATATGCCACTCTCGGAAGACATATACTTACGAAGATAGATCAGTTTGATTACATACTAATATCGACTCTTAAAGTAGGGCGACATTGTACAACCAATGCCAGAAACAAATGCAACCACACTTATACGCATGGAGATTGACATACCAGCAAATGCAATCTCAGGAAGATTGGCAGGTGGAAAAGAAGAAGAAACCTTTGCAGCAGCAAAAAAGGTCAACTTATTCCTGAAGACCTGTAAATATGTGAGCAAAAGTCTACATGAATAAAAGAAACAACAATAGTTACACAGAACAGGCACCATTCCTTGACACAAGAATTGTCAATGAAACAAAGGATATGCATACATTTTCTTCGATGCGTTCTCTCTCGGAGCTTTTGGAATCTGGGATATTATCAAGTGGTACAGACAACTCAATGTTATATCCAGCCCTTTTTAGCTCAATCATACGTCGCCGGCCCAACAACTGAAAGTTGACTCGATGTAAGTACAATAAGTGAAACTTATAAAATCAAAAGACTGTTAAAAATTATAAAGAAGCATGAAAATTACATTATCTTCCACGAAGGAAAGGATTGAAGGACTGGGTTTAATTGCACGGAATTCTGCATTCTTTGACATTGCCACTTCTTTCTCTAATTGTTTCTTCTTTTCTTTGGCAGTTTCTGATTTGAAACAAAATATAAGGCATAAGAAACATGGGGGGAAAACAAGAGATATCCTCACAACTTTGAATTTAGCATTACCAGTCTTAAGATACCTTAACTGGAAAAGACTCTTACCATTGCCATCCAATCCATCATCCATCCGCTTGTTTGACGTATCATATGGATCTAGACGCATAACACGTTTTTTCTTCTTTTTCGGTTCGTCATCCTGAACCTTGGTATCACCTTCAAGACTGATCCTTTTAGTCCTCAAACCTTTCTTCCCATAAGTTATAGTAGATGTTCTCAGGGTTTTGCTCTTACTCCGATCAGCAACTGTATTTGAGTCTAACTCGCGTTTGCTATGTCTCTTCAGTATATTGGTCCCATCATCATCCAGTTTATCAAACCTCTTCGCCTTACTCGTCCTAGTACCACGCAATTGCCTAATTTCATTATCCGCTACTTCAACAGATTCACCTCTCCTTCCTGAATTGCCACCTTCTTTACGGGAAACCCACATTGATCGAGGAGGACCAGTGCCACTATTCCTTTTAAGAGAACCATCTCTTTTTACCCTAGATTCTCCTTTCCAAGGCTTTCCTAGTGGACGCTTCAGTTTGGGTTTAAGCTTGAACCCTGGAACTGCTTCAGCATTCATTGTCTACCTCACACTTGCAACACTCAAATTCAACGCCCACAGAAGAAAGTCACAGATTTTAGGTCTCCCCAAGTCCTGCAACAGCTAATTATCAGAAACTATGAGAACTCAACTACAAAAGAACATCAGAAAACGCAGTACAGTTGTAACATAAAGAACCCTCTAGGTAGCTAATTAAGACAAAGCTCTCTACCCTATCACTATCAACACCGAATTGAGAAACTTGTAAAGGTACGAACTTTATTGTGAAACTTTAAGCTCGTTTTGGTTTCCTCAACTTCCCCAGAAAACAGAGTTCTGCTGTTTGTATCAAACCAATCAGACAGCCATAACAAACTGCTTAGTTTCCTTTTCTGACGGTTCACCATGAAACCCAAAAGAAGAACAATAAGGTGGTGCTAGTAGGGAAATTGACATCGTTACCGTTGATACGTGTAGTTTCTTCGAAGTGTCTGCTCTTCCCTCCTGGGGGTGGCCGTCAATTGAGCATGCTAAATGCTATGCGGAAGGCAGGCGACCTTCCCTCAGTTTCGACGCTGCAGAAAAGACTTTGGGCCGTGAATCAGCGAGAATATGGGCCCATCCTAAACCTGGGCCAATAATCACCTATGGCGATGAGGATTATTGGCGATGAGGACTACCAAAAAACCAACTGAGTGGCACAAGATTCAGATCAGATACCAAAAACACAGATGAAATAGAAATACCCAGATGCTGAAAACAACGTTATTCAGTCCAACCCTTCCAGAAAAGGGAAACCTACCTAATAAAGGCAACAACTTTCAGCCCTACCAACTGTTCAGAGTCAAAAACTTCCATTCAAGATCACAACTAAGCACAAACACAGCGAAAACCCAGATGCTAAATTCGAATCTAAATTAATCATAGAACAGAAAAGATGGGCAACAGCAAACACTCACGGTTCTGTTTTAAGAACAACACAGTGGAAATGAAGGGAAACCCCTTTCAGATCATTGATTGACTCCCCGGAAAAAAAGACAAATCCCCTTGATTCCCCTGAACAAAAGACAAAAGATGGGAGTCTTCCATATTCTACCAGTGTTTAGAGACTCCACCTTTAAGCTCTGTTCTACACAACCTCTGTTTATCAACCCCCATTTTTCGTGTTCATTCTTTATTTTCCGAATGCTGAGTAACAGAAAGGAATCAACAACAAACCGGTAAATGGGATCCAGACTTGAATTTCTTAGACTCTCCAAAATCTTGCCTAGTTGAAAATCCATGCTTTAAAGAAAAAATCCATTACATTGTCAACAGACAACAATTCACTTCCCGAGTAGAGAAGAAATCAGAACCCCTACAGCAAGTGGATGCCAATCAAAATCAAAATTCAGGAAAGGTAAAAGGAGCTTACTGGGATTCCATCTCTGTTTTGTACAGTGATTTAGGATGTTACCAACGGCAGGAGCTTCGAACCCAAAGGAGTTGCTCGTGAAATCGCCAATCTCCACTTCTGCACCCTGTCGTCTGCTTCTGGCTCTTCGTCGTCGATGGGTGGATCAGCGACGAGGAACACTGAATCTTTGCGTTACCCAGATGCGGCCGACGAGGCGTCCGGCGACGGATTTGATGGCAGTCGGAGGTCCTCACGAGGCCGCTGGCGGCGAGGACGATGATGGCGGCGAGGAGGCTCTGTCTCTGTTTCGTCTCGCTCTGTTTTGTTTAGGTTTGCCAAAAGTGAAGAGACGGCGGCGACGGCACGAGGTGAAGGCTAAGGGTAGGGTTGCTCTCAAAAGTTAAAAACGGCAGCGTGACTGTATCGGGTTTTCGGTTTTGGCAAACCGAAACCGATGCTGTGTGTGTCGGGTTGAACCCGAAAAAAACGGAAACCGGCACTGTTTGACGTTCTCTGCTGCTGGGGTTGAAGTTCTCTGCTTGACGAGAATGTTTGAAGCTTCCAAATTCCCGTGGTAAATTTTCTCGGAGTGGAGATACACCATCCCTCGAGCAATCTCCAACATTACATCAATGGCGACGGGGAGCGAAAAGGGTAGTCACTTGTTCCTCGATCCACATACTTTCTTGATGTACGTAGCTCTCGATGTCTCTGCAACTCATCAGTTCCGTCACCAAGAAACACTCTTTCTTGTCCTCGTCGATGAACCCACAGAGCAATTACAGAATGTTGGGATGGGACCGCGACGAAAGTCGAGAAATCCCAGGAACCATAGGGTCAACATTGTCGATCAAGGAACGCCTGATGGCGAAGCTTTCACCACCAAGCCATTGAATCTCCATGAATTGGCTCCCTCCCCCGAGCCTTCGCTTCACCTGGTAATCTCTCTAACCGACTAGAATCGAACTGGGGAAGAGCTTCCAGTTCCCTCCCAGTCTCTTCACTATTAGATCGCCCAACTGTCAATAGGGCTGGTAAACGGTCGGTAACCGGTTAAACTGGTTACCGACTGACCGGTTTTCGGCATACCGGGAAGCATGGCAGTTCCACCGTTTGCCGATACCGAAATTCCCTCGATAAACCGGTTACCGAATTGCTGCGGTGCCGGTAATTATCCGGGTACCCGATTGCCGTATGCGCTGATGACGAATAGTGGGGACTAGCCCACTTTTTGCTGCTTTGCTTTCTCATTTTTATGAGTTGGGAACTGGGAACATGTCATCTCATCTCATCATGCACTACACGTCTACACTACAGGTGGAGCTCATAAAAGAAAGCCAGAAAAGTACGGGACGAAGACAAAAATCAATCACCAGACATCAATTATCATTTACACCACACGTGTGACGTATTCTTCCTATTCTCCTTTTCTTTGGCTCGTCCCCTTCAAAAATAAAAAACAGGCAGCTACTGCGGCGGGGAAGCTGCACCGACAGTGGACGAAGAGGTTGCAGTGCTAGGGTTGACGGAGAGGATGCGGCGCGGGGTCGACGGAGAGGTTGCGGTGCTGGGTTGCTAGCCTGCTACGTCGTGGTTCGTCGTTCTGATTACGCTTGCGTCGGAGTGGCAAAAATTGCCGATTGCCGATTGGGGTTCTAATTGGGCGGCGGGAAACTCGTGAGGGCTGGGTTAGACAGAGAAAGCGAGAGAGGAGGAGAATTGCTGAATTAGTCATCTGTAATTCCTTTTCCTGATAGAGAGTCAATTTTACTAATTAGGAGGATCGAGAACGGGTTCGGGCTTCGGGAATGGACAATGGGGAATTAGAATTAGTACTGCGTCGCCGCTCCTGCAAATCCGGTATCGAGTAACCGGGTTTCCGTCGGTTAGTTAACATGCGGGTTCCGGTATACCGCCGTCCCAGATTTACCATCCGACAACCGTTACCGTCCGGTTAACGGTTTAACTGGTAACCACAGTTATCGGCACGGTTATCGGTTAAACCGTTAACCGGAAAACCGAATCCCAGCCCTAGTCAATACGCCTTTTACAACTTATGTAGTTAAAAACTCCACTTTAAAACTTAAAAACTTACGATTTTACGCTTTTAGATCACCAAAACGTTTCTATGTAGAAACTCGCTTTTGATTACATTGGTTCACAGATAAGAGTGAAGGAAGGGGAAAAAGCTGTTCGCTTTCTCTTTTTCCCTTATTCAAATTTGGTCTCTGTTTCTGAGAGCTACCAAACAGAGGGAAAAAGAAGAAGAGAGACATGTGGAAACTGTGGAAAAGTGTGCAACTTTAATAATTCAAGGAGGAAACCGGGTGGTCCATTGATTCGGGTCTCTACGTATAATAATAGGCCAATACTACAGTGCCGCACTAAAAAGTGCGGCACCGGTGACGCAGTTTCCTATTGGTCCATGTGGAGCTGATGTGGCATGGCCTGGTTTCATTAAACACAATCCAAACCAATGGCCCATTAGAAGCGGCCGAACCCAGCCAACATGAAACTAACGTCTAATAGTAACGTCTGCCTTCGCTTAGCCGTTACATTTATTTCCTTTTCCATTTATTAATTTTAAATGCATTAACATTCAGTTGCATTTATTTGTATTCTGAAAAAAAAAAGCGAAGGAAAACGAACCGTTGGCGTCTTCCTCGTTCCCTCGCTCGTCATAATCGGAAAAGAGCGAACTGCTCTGCTGAGCACCACCGTCGCTCATCCAAACTTCACACCCTCCACCAAATTCTTCACGCGTATTCCACCTCCATTAATTCAATTCGTTTGGTTTTGGAAGATTCAGAAAACTCAAAAACTGGGGACGACGAGGGACGAACCGAAAGAGAGTTCCTCGATCTTCTTCACCGGCGTTGGCGAAAATCACTCCGGTGACTTGTTCGTGGTCGATCCCATCTCCAAAATGACTCCGGTGACTCGTTCAGAGACGAAGAAGTCTGCATCTTCACGGGCCTCTGTCACCATCGAAAAGTGCCTCCGCCAAAGACCAGACCGGTCAAGGTTAGAGAAGGGAGAGACGCATCCTTCACCGGCGGTCGCTCCCAAATCATTCCGGCCCTCGTGGTCGATCCCATCCCCAGGGTCAATCTTAAGCGTCGATTGCAGCGTACCCAACCCCTGCATAGTCAGTGCTCTCTATTTTGTACCAAAACTTCCCTCGTCCGCTCATCTGTCGGCCAGGACTAACCTCTGCCACAAGAATTTCTTTTCAGCCTCGGCGAGTTCAGTTAGATTCCTGCTCTTGTAAGGTAAGGTAAGGTATAGCTACTTTCAGTTATATTGGTTGTGGATATGTAGCCTAGACAGAAAGGTGGAGTGGTTGTGGGCAGGCTTTACCCTAGGTGTAGGCGATGTGGATGATGGGTCACTTACTTTGAGCTCTTTCATATGGTCAGCACTGAATGAGTGCAGGTCAGATACGGCAGCAACTAGCACAGCAAAACTCCGGACAACTCACTTCACTTCTACCGACTTCACATGGAAATCGAGAACAGTTTCCGTGCATGGAGGACATATTTTCTCATTGGCGCAGCTAGATGACTCTTTCATTTTGTTATTGTGTCTTGCAGCTGAGCAAAATAGATATCGTATTGACCAAAGCAGGCAAAACTTGTATACTTATTTGAACTGCTACTGGTGCTCGTGATCTTATTTGAACTACCACTGTGATTACAAACACATTGAATGTTGATGCTCCATTTAGTGAGTTTGTTCTATTCAAGATGATTGTTCCCTCTGTACTTGAGTTTGGCTCATAGGTTTCCATTTAATGTACAATGTGTTTGTTGGTAGCAAGGTGGAGAAGCTCGAGTTCTATATGTTCGACATTGTTTGTGTGCGACTAGGGGGGTTGTTTTGGTTGGATAACTTCTATTGTACTAATTATGAGAAGAAAGGGTTGTTGACGAGATTGATCGGGAGATTCGGGTATGCAAAGTTGAAATGGGTTGTGGGAGAGAAGGTCGATGCAGCATCTGGGATGTCTGAATTTTATCAATCTGCTGTGCTGCAAAACCCAGCAAGAGTCTGAAAGTAGAGATGGGCATATATTTATATTTTGTTGTAAAATTGGTCTGTCTTTTCCTTGTGTAACTTTTTATCTTTTAGGAGGAACTTATAGTTCTTGAGGTTAGTATGAACTCTTGGGGAGTATGGGGAAAATTAATAGTATGTTCATTAACTTTTGCCCAGCAATGAGTAACTGAGTACAATAGGCTTGTTACCAATAGAATCTGTCTATGCTTGGAAGCACCATCTGTATACATAGTCAATCAACTGCACTCTACCGCCTTGACCAAATGCAACTTAACAATAACAATCTACTAATTTTTCATGTCCTAGCCAATCTTATACATTACTCAATCAACTGCATCCCGTTAGCTTACAACTTACAACATACATGGAGGAAAGTCGCACCCTTAATGGTGGTGGCTGACAAGAATCAAAAGCTCACCAATGCATACTTCTAACTAGCTACGGCTTCTGCAGCTGCATCTACTGATACAATCAACACTGGGTGTACCAAATCCCCTTCCTAACAGGTCTTGAAGTTCAATCAGTTGCCTTTGCTAACTTGTAAACCACGAATTCATTGTACAATGTTCTCATTTATGGAGGCGGTGGCATTAACCTTGTATGATGGACGAAGAAGCAAGGTTTATACTCTGCTGCATATTCGCGATATTAAGAAGCGCCATCCCTTTTTCGAGTGTAACCTCTCTCGTTTGCTTGGTCCCTCCCTCGTTCTCATGGGGTGATGACATTAGTACTACGTTTCTGAAGAGCTCTACCATGTGCTGAAAATAACAACGAACACACTTCAGCATTATTTCGGTAATTTTTTCCCAACCACACAAAAATATATCTGCAGCTACACCTGGCAAAGCTGGTAGAAGGTGTTCATGAGATCAAGGTAATCTGTGAAAGTAAGCTAATGAATGCACTGTGTTGACTTGAGATTCTTTAAAAGCCATATTCTGTAATTCAAATAAGAGTCTGAACCGTAAAATAACCCAGTCGCGACCACTTCGTTCAATGGGCTGACCTCTTTCCAGGTAGCATTGCTTTCTGCAAACATACCTCCATATATCTATCATGAAAACCCCAAACATAACTAAAAGACATCATCGAAAAAAATAACCAGCAAACTGACAGTCTTGCGTACCTCGACATTAGGGTTCTCTGATTCCAGATACTGTCCAACACCAGAGACACTCCCTCCACTGCCAATTCCCATCACAAAGATGTCCAATTGTCCCACTGTGTCTTCCCAAATCTCAGGACATGTGGTCTCAAAATGGATCTGTTTCCCCACCACCCATCTCATATATGTCATGCATTGATCCAGCTCATAAAACCAAGATAGCTAGTGATGTGCAAAAGCGAACTAATATAGATAGGAACCTTAGGATAAATTTATTAGTTTCTGCATCTCTGGAATGTGAGCTAACTAGCTAACGAAGCTCCCTTGGAGACCAAAATTCTTAACTTCTGCATCTATCTGCAAACATTGAGAGTGTTGGTCTGTACAAGAGAAAGAATAACAAGAGAAAATGGGTTTTTGTTCAATCTCTACAACAAAAGGTCTACTAATTCATGGAGGATGGGAGAAATTATATATTGTAATATGTCCTTAATGCTAGATGCTGGTTGAAATCCATAGCACAAGACTCTAAATCTGCAAGTCTAATAACATCCATGTCAACTGTGTAAACAGACTCATGTATAGTTCATATGCCCGTTAAAGTAAACAGCCTACCATTTTAATTGGAGATGGTGATAGAAAGTCGTAAAACCCTCGAGCCACCGCCACAAACTTCAATTTTCATGCCCTTCAACAATCCATCTGCAGATCCTCATAGCTAGCGCTCAACCACAGGCCTCTCCGTACATCGACAACCCCTAATACGGGAGAAGGAGAAGGAGAAGGAGAAGAAGAAGAAGAATAGTAGGGTTCTGGTGACTGGTGAGGAAGTCGACAAATAAAAATAGGTGAGTCGGTTGGAAAGATTAGAGTTCTAGCAAGGACGTCGAAAAAATTAAAAAGGTAAATTACAGCAATCTGGAATTTGAAAATATTCAGCAAAATATTAATCACGGGAGGGAACTACCTGTTTATTCAAGCATATAATTAAATATTCAATCAACTACGTAACAAGAAAAGGGGATATTTATTCTTAATAATAGATAGACGAAGCATTTGAATTCATATCAAACTCTCATTGCTACTGTGGACTATATAAAAACATATTCCTATTTCAGGACTCACTTTTCGTGGAAGGGAGTAGGGGTTTCCAGAGTCGCATAGCATCATCGAAGGTATTAGTTAGCTTGTTTTTTTTCCCTTCTACCCTAATTTCATAGTTTGGTACTGATTTTCATGGCGGGCAGGAATTTTTATGCAGAATCGACGTCCCTGGGTGGAGAAGTAAGGTATGTGTTCATACTTAACCTCTAGGATGCATTGAATTAAACCTATCTACATACAACTTAGTGATTCTAGATTCATACCAAGAATTGAACCCACTAGGATGCATTGAATTAAACCTCTTATCAAGATCCAGATATGGTTTTATCAAATATATTTGCTACTAAGTAGTAACCAAATCTCACAGCTATAGCATCAATCAACTACAGGACCTATAATGCATATGCAAAGTACAATAGCTGTCAATAACAGAAGTATGTACGATTATGAGAAATCATGGAAATAAGAATCGAAACTATGAGAAATCATGGAAACCCAACATTTTAGAACACTACACATGTCGATTGAGCTTTTTTGCGATCAACATAAAATTCATGCATCATGATCAGAGACATCATTCATATGATGCATTTTTTGCGATGCATTGCTTTAAAAGGTAATTATCATGAATTCATGTAAGAATCTCACCCAAAACACCAACGAATTTGGAGACTTTATTTTGCCAATAAAACCCAGCTTGATGCATAACTTTGGAGGAACCATAACTGTTGTCAAAGTCTGAGTGAAAAATGAATGAGAAGGTAGGAAAGGATCAAAAGTCACTTAATCACCTAAGCGAATGGAAATGTCAATTTCGATTTGTAAATCTGCAGCAACTAAACCATTACAAAACGACACAATCACAGGGGTAAGCGAACGGAAAGAAGACATATCAGGAAATAAATTAATCACTTGAAAGGAAAGGAAAGGAATGGCCAGTAGCAGCTCAAGTGGCAGCTTCAATAACATATCAAGATTATCTTAATTTGGTTGACTTGCATTTAAGCTAATAACAAAAGAAAATCTTCATACTCTATAACATTCAATGATCTCCATACTTTTGACACCTACTCATATCTTAACAGTGAAAATTGAGTTGAGAAAAACTAATGTGCTCTCGCCTCTCAAAATGATAATTAACTATAATCAAACATCCAATATATATAAATATTCAAAGCCACATTTAAGTGAACACCACCAAGTCCAAGCTTACTTGAAAATAGGTCAAATTTTCCATAAAAATCTGGTCAATGGTTTGAGGAACAACATTCTTCTAAACCATTATACTTCAAATCAGTAATCTATCATGATTAAGATTCCAAAACCAAACGCCTACATCATTCCGACAGCAGTCACCATCTTATTGCTTCATCAAAATTGTAGACACGCAACAGCCTTTGTTATAGACTAGATTGTACCCTGGCCCGTTGACCGGTTGCAATATGATAACTGTAATTAACAAAGATTAACAGCTTAAATTTCAGTAATCTCTTCTTCTATTATATTTTTTCCATGATTATATGTCAATGTCATGTGAATTGACAAATAATAAAATAGACATCAAGGTATATTTTTAGTTTTTACCATTAAGAAAGTCAAAATATTCAATTTCTGCAAATGAGCATCCATCATAAAGATTACTAACATTTGCCTTGAATCTTGATTCTTGTACATAATTTACATAATTTTTGTCACAAAATTAAACACAAAACATAATCATATATGAAATTTAATTTTCATGACAATTTACATAATTTTTGTCACAAATTGTCGGAAGTTAATTTTTCTTTCATTGATTATCTTCGAAATTGTTAACCCAGTTTTCGAATTTGTGATATTGTAATCACTAAACTTGGAACTTCTACCCTGATTCTTTTTTCTTAAATACTACATTCCTTCATTTACTGAGACATTAGGGAGCGGATGTATCATTCTTCCACTATTTTTAGTAGCTTTTCATCATTAACTCTAAAAAACCGAAATTTTGATGATCGAAGACAGCAAACTCATATTTGATACTTGATAGTATCCAAAACACAAGTTGGAACTTAAATATGAAAAACGTTAATAATTGATTGTGTAGTATACACCATTCGAGTTGGGTCTTAAATGTGAAAATACTTATAATTGAGATTCTTTATTTAGAAGAGCAATATAAGCTTTAGTGAGGATGATTCTTAAATTGACTAAATTTCACATACAAAAACTGAGAGAGGAAGGTAAATTAGTTGGAATGATAAATCTCATCCAAAGTCTTTTTAGTTTTCTTTGACAGGTTCTATATTCCACGTAGCACCACAAAAGATTCATAAATTTGTCGACTTAGCATTCGGTAAAATAAAATTAGCCTAAAGAAAGCATAAAAATAAATAGGATTTGTATCTTAATCAATCATTAGATTCAAACTGATATTTACCTTATTCGCAACCTTCTAGTTCAATTCATTAAGTTCTTGTAATATAATAGTAGGGATATTGAATAGTCTTTTCTCAAGCAACCATAGGAGCTTGATCTCATTTTTATAAAAAAAAAAATTAGATTAAAATAAACTAATTTAAGATGTATTTTTAAATTTAAACATAATAATATTTTTTATTAATGTATTAAAAATGTTATCTTAAATGAAATTCAATCGCTTCAGGAATATCAAGATTAGATCGTAGCACCAAGGTAGCTCCAATTCAAGATAATAAATTTTCACCCACAAGATTGGTCAGTCACCAATAGATGAACATTAACATCACAAGTAATGGACTAATCAGATAAAAAATGTGTGCGTACGTTGAGAGACAGAGGAATGAAAATTATGCAAAGGCCAATATGAACATAACATTCATAGCCATAGCAAGAATTTTATTGAATTGAGTAATGGTTATGGTTGACAAAGTTATATTTACAATGCATTTCATGTATTCGAATTGAAATTTACAACTTAAATAAAATGATTTAAAACCAGGTAATTTTAAAATAAAATTTATACCTATAAGCTGGTATTGTTACGTATTTTGATATCAATAGATTATTTGAACTTCATATTTTTTTCGAATTGACCTATATTTCCTTTTTTTTTCAAGTAACTTTGAAATTCTCAAAATGTGTACAATAATTTATTACTTATTAGTTATTACACTCCATAAAAAAATTACGTTCTCAGAGGCTCAGACTTCTTAGTAAATGTTTTGAACTTGCACGCATCTGTCATAAAAAAGCAATGATATTAGTAATCATTAATTGATTAGAAATTAAATTTCAAATCAATTTTTGTGAGATTGTGCTAAACATATTTGGCTATCTTTGCATAAAAAATTACCATATTTTTGAATTGTTAAATAAAAAACCACATGGATCTTTGTTCATATGATATAGTTGCATGCATGTAGATAGACTAATTTTTATATTTACTTGTAATTCTTAAATTTTAGTGAACCTGCAGGTGCGGGAGGGAAAAGTAAAAGAAAGGTGCAAGTAATAAGGCCCAGCTCATGTGCTCATGCACCAAAATTTAGGATACAAAAAGTCTAAAATATCCTCCCTTGGTTTGCGGGGAGCACAGGAAAAACATAATTGAGTAGGTCTGTAGCAAGAACCTACATATATATATGTGGTAGGATTGCGAACTCGCCATATTAAGCCCTAGTTAATTCTCAAAAGAAGATAATTTGACACAACAGCTAATTCATGGCAATTGAATGACAACATCTAATTCCCTGCGGGAGCTAATTGACTCTAACCTAACCCCAATAACAACTTGAAATTGCTCAATTTCCTGCCCAACAAAATTGACAAAGTGGCGTTGCTTACTTTACTGGCAACATCTACAAACCTGAATCAAATTATAGGGGAGAGAGTTAATGTGAGGTAGTCTGGGAGCAGAAAGAAAGATCAAACGATTCGAAAGCAGCTTGATATCTCGGCTATGAAGATCAGAGATAAGACGTGGAAGGGTGCGGAAGTAGGAAAGGGAAGGCCGGAAGGGGAAAGGGTGGAGGCAGCGACTTCAGGGAGCTGTTGATGAGATTATTTTGGAGCAGTTTCGGGAGTTACAGAGCGAGGGGGATAGAAGGATTGAGGTGCGGCGAAGGGGAACGGGGAAGGAAAAGGGGCGGGGGGCGGTGGCAGG